ATTATTGTCATTAGTGATTATCTCAATTTCGACTAAAAGAATTGACAAAATCCTACACACTGTGCCTTTAAATAAAGTTTGAAAACAGGCTAGCTGACATCCTGTTAGASTAAGAGCTGTTCTGAAAACTGTCCTGCTGAATATTTTATTAAACATTTGGTGTAAAAGAGTTGAGCCTTGTTGTTCTTGTTCCTCCTGCTCGGATCATAAACTTCCTGATGACTGATGGTCTGATCACAGAGTGGATCTGACGTCTGCTGTCACCTTCATTTTGTCCTCCTCACAACTCATGGATCGTCTAACTTTGAGTGCAGTTGTTGCAAATAACCTTTGATCTTCACCGGCTTCCTTTTAATCCACAACTCCAAAGCGGTGATATAAGAATAAATGGTCTTCAGGTATATTTTCTTGATTTAGGTGCAACATTTCACCTGTAAACTCTCTGTCTGCTCAGGTGAATGCTATGTTTGTGCCTCCAACGAGCCCTACCGGAAAGTGGACTACACCAAGATCTCCGTGCCCAGCTGGAAGCCCGGCGCCAGCACCGGGGCCGCCACCTCCAGCTCCAGCAGGACCTCGACGACCTCCACCGGCGTGTCCACGAGCACTGCCCCCATTCTGAAGGACCGCCCCGAGGGGCGGGAGGGCAGGGAGAGCAAAGACTTCATCAAACCCAAGCTGGTGACGGTGATCCGCAGTGGCGTGAAGCCCCGCAAGGCCGTGAGGATCCTGCTGAACAAGAAGACGGCTCACTCCTTCGACCAGGTGCTGGCCGACATCACGGAGGCCATCAAGCTGGACTCTGGARCCGTGAAAAGGCTCTACACGCTGGATGGGAAACAGGTGAGACCATAGGTTGGTTTTYCCACAAAATAATGAAATGTTTCTGTTTTCAGCTTTATTATCAGTAGTTTTGATGTGACATGAAGYGACTTAATTAACTYCCACTGTCTAAAAGTTGAGCCAAATGTATTTTTGGAACAGTGTTTTAGATCCTGCATCCAAAACACTTGAACAAATAGTCCCTGCAAAACACAAAGGGGAGGGGCCTMAAAGTGGGAGTGTCCTCCACGAATGGGCAAGATGGACTCGCAAACATGACCTTAAAGGAAACCCYGACTAAGACAGTAAAAATACTGTAGGCTGTTAAGTTTTTTAAATTGAAAATGTATATTTTCACACAGATGACACCATGCTATTTATGCCGCAAAGCTAATGTGTAAATTATGACTTATATAGTAATATGGAGTTAGCGCACGAGCTAATACATACATTTATTGTGATATAGCGTGAGCTACAGAGCTAATACTTATATATGTATGTATTGGATCACCATAAATGTATGTATTAGCTCAGTAGCTAATGCTCACCATAATGTAAGTATATGTTCAGAAGCTAATGGTTTATCACAATGTATGTATTAGCTCGATACCTAATGCTTTATTACCATAAATGTATGAATTAGCTCAGTAGCTAATGCTACATCACCNTAAATGTATGAATTAGCTCAGTAGCTAATGCTACATCACCATAAATGTATGCATTAGCTTGTGCGCTAACATTATTGATTCCCAAGCTAATCCATGCATACATACATATACACTCTATGTATTGCTAGCTTAAATTTGCTGAAGTTCAACTTGTTAATTAGCTAAAAGCTACAGTATAAACATTTTCTATTATCCATTCTCAGACATCTATTTAAGAAGTCTTTATTAAAAGAGTCTAACCAGTAAAATGTCTCGTTTTCATGCTGAGCTGTAAAATTAACCATCGTTTTGCAGCCGGCCTTGAAGCAGGAGCTGGACCTTTGATGCTTCAACTTCCAGGTTCTGATCCTGTCTCTAGTTATAATACATGCAGATGGTCAGGAGCTTTAATTTCTCTAAAACAATCAGATTCTAACGTTCAATTCACTTTAACTATTATTCTGGAAACATTTGTACAGTCAAATGGGTATTATTCCTCTAAATRGTTCCTGGTAAAGGATTGTTCTTTAACGTGTTTCTGTGGTTTAGGTTTTATTTAGAAACATGTTTTCCATTAAGTAAAGTAGAATCAAAGGATTTGAGCCAAGAGGAATGGATCAGACTGCAGAAATCTAATTACAGCACATTACTAAATGACTTCTSGACAGAGTCGTCTTTTAATTTGACGTTAGACGTGTTCAGTGACTCGTTGCTCCTCCTGCAGAGTTTGGTGCTGAAAGCTGTAAAACTGCAGCCGTCAGCCGAAAGAACGTCATTAAATATGTTCTGATCCTCTGAAACGCTGCTCCGAGCTCGCTTTGGGTGGAGGATTTAAACGTATCTCACACCGACTGACTGAGCATGCAGGGTTTGAAATGTAGATAAGTGTGTCGGCTGGGAGAACAGCCGAAGAAAAGCAGAAACAGCAGAAGGTTTGTGTCGGCGTCAGGCTGGCTGAAGGATGTTTGTTGTTGTGAACGCAGCTCAGATTTATGTACAAACAGCTTTTATAGACTCACAACCGGCTCCTCGCTGCTGCAGCTTCAGGAAAATAAAAGCAAAAGCTGCTGTCACTGTTTTCAAAATAAAAGCATCCATGAACAAAACCAAAAATTACTTGTTTTGTTTTTAGAAGATCCTTTTAGTGCTCTGATTTATTTCTTTAAACAAATTATCTAACCTAAATATTTTATGTGTGTGAGCGTTTATTCTGCTTCACAAGTCTGTGACAAAAAATAAATAAATGAAATCACATCCTACGAACAACAAACGACTTTTATTTCTCTTTATGTTAGACGGGTAAAAAATAAATAAATAAAGTCATGGTTTATTTTTATTTATTAAACTTATTTATGAGGCACTTTTATTTTGAAGTCAGCGAGACAAAACGAGGGCTTTTATTCTCTCGGTCTTTCAGAGCTGCAGACTCTCACGCTGCAGTGTGAGGAGGTTACCATGGCAGTCACTCATCCAGTACTGTCCCGGTCGCTGCGGACACACACACGTGGGATGTTCGGTCCGGTTCCGGGATCATTGATGGGGGAGGGGTCTGTTTCCATAGCAACAGGGCAGCACTACAGTTAGCAGCCGCGCCGAGTTTGTGTTTCTTTATTTTTGGATTGGATTGGTGGGAGGAAGGGGTGGGGTTAATGTATATCATCTGATAAGAGTCACAGTACAAAAATACACTATACTACAGTATCAGGTACTCCAGTGTACTATATTATCCAGGTATTTTTACAGTATCAGATACTCCAGTGTACTATAGTATCCAGGTATCTTTACAGTATCAGGTACTCCAGTGTACTACAGTATCCAGGTATCTTTACAGTATCAGGTACTCCAGTGTACTATAAGGTATCCAGGTATCTTTACAGTATCAGGTACTCCAGTGTACTATATTATCCAGGTATTTTTACAGTATCAGATACTCCAGTGTACTACAGTATCCAGGTATCTTTACAGTATCAGGTACTCCAGTGTACTATAAGGTATCCAGGTATATTTACAGTATCAGGTACTCCAGTGTACTACAGTATCCAGATATATTTACAGTATCAGGTACTCCAGTGTACTATAAGGTATCCAGGTATATTTACAGTATCAGGTACTCCAGTGTACTACAGTATCCAGATATATTTACAGTATCAGGTACTCCAGTGTACTATAAGGTATCCAGGTATATTTACAGTATCAGGTACTCCAGTGTACTACAGTATCCTGAAAAGCAGAAGTTTTAAGAACCAGACGTAGTATTTTTGTATTTTTTAGACAATCTGACATCAGTTTGATGGATGTAAACCTCTGTGTTTAATCCCATTTTTCTTCACCTCTTCATCTGTCAGCTCCTCCTCCTCCTCCTCCTCCTCGTCCTCCTCCTCCTCCTCTCTGAATAAATCTGGGCCATGATGAAGAACAGTCAGTCTTTAATCCTCAGACGTTGTTGGACAGCACGCAGTGTTTGTTTCTGTCTGAATGTTTCTGACAGAACCAAACTCACATCTGTGTCGTCCACACACACTCAGTCTGACTCTGTGTGTGTGTGTGTGTGTGTGTGTGTGTGTGTGTGTGTG